GCACACAGCGTCTCTGACATACATGAAAACTCTGTGGAGCACACAGCATCTCTGACATACATGGGGTTGGAATCTACTCAATAGCAACTGGCTCCGTTTTTGTTTTTTGGTTATTTTCATCTTATCGAAGTGTCATATTAATTATAAATACTTCTTAAATAAAAGCAAAATGGAGAAGTATAAATCTCTTGCATTCCCACCAGCTAGGAATGTTAGCGTTTTAATAAGTACACATTCCCATCTTCTTGCTGGTCACATTATAATCTTCCTTTTATAAGACTTTACAAGGACACTAGCTACTCACTCATACTCATTCCTGTGTTTTAAATTAGTACTTAATATTTAAACTCATACTCATTCCTGTGTTTTAAATTAGTATTTAATATTTAAACAGTTTCATAAATATCACTATATGAAACAATAAAACCTCTCAGTTAAAGATGCAAAACTGAATTCTGGTTTGCATATTAAAAGTAAAATGTGAGAGGGCTTTTAAAATGTCTTGAGAAAATGGAATTAAAAGATAATGGAAGATGAAACAAAATGTGTATGAGTTGTTGAATGAAAAACTGATCTGCTCTGTAAACCTTCACCCAATTCACAATAAAAACTTAAAAAAATAAATGAAATACTGACCTTAGTTCTCAAAAAGGGGGAAAAAAAGATAATGGCATTTTTCCATGAACTTTTTTGAAGCCTTCTTACATAAGACCTGGCATTGGCATCTTCTTGCAGAAGGAAGAGGTCATGCTTCTAGTTCCCAATCAAAGGAATAAGAAATTGCAAAATAAAAATGTAATAATGTTTGTTTTTTCCTACAATGAATTTAAAATATAATATCTAATTATAAACTAATAGTTTACTTAGTCCAGATAAGCAAAAGATTATTTAACCATCTCTCTAGTGTTGGATATTTCGAGTTGCTACAAGTTTTTCGCACTGATAAATAACTGCCTATATTGCTGGTGTTCTTGTTTTTGAATTATATGTCCCTGGATTCATTTTCACAAGTATCACTTAACTTGCTGTCTTAGGCTGGGTTCTCTAAAGAAGCAAAACCAGTGAAGCTTACGTATGTAAATATAAAGAGAGGTTTCTGTCAAGGAAGTGTCTCACTCAGTTGTAGAGGTGGGCAAGTCCCAAGTACATTGGTCAGCTAGCTGTCAGGCAGGAGGCTTCTGACTCATGTAGCTTCAGGGCTGATGAACCAAGATTGCCAGGTCCCAGGCAATCTGCAACTGCAGGCAAGCAGGCAGTTCCTGCAGGTAAGAAGGCAGGCTGCTGATAGCTTGTAAGATCTGCAGGTAATAGAGCAGGCACAAGCTCAACTACAAAGAAATAGAGGTTGGAGGACAAGCCAGATGCAAGATCCAGACCTAGCAGAGAGTAAGCAAGCCTTGCCTAAGTGTCCAATATATTGGAATCAGGCCATACGCCTGAGGAAACTTACCTTCAATTGATTGGCTACTCATAGCAGACCTCATCATAGAGTTGATTACATTATATTATATATCATCATTTGGGGTTAGCCATGTCTCAGCTGGACTCCTGGTTGTGGGTTAATGTGCTGGACTGCAAAGTCGGTTTGAACCACACGATCAGTGGTTCAAGCTCACCATCTGCTCCCCAGAAACCCTATGCAGGGTCAGAACTAACTCAACAGCACTTAACGATAACATCAGCATCTCAACTGCCAAACAAATGAGAATCCTAGCCCACTCAAATTGACAAAAAAGCCTTAACTATCACATTTGGTCAAAGGGTATAATCTTTTACATTTTACATATTGCAATGATTAAGTACTACATTTTAAAATGTGTGTGTCTTTAACAGGAGAATGTGGTAGGGTTTTCATTGAGTTTCCAAGCTAAAGTCACCAAGTATTCAGCTGGATGTTTTTGGGATACGTAAATAGATGAAAAGTAGTAATACTTTTATCCAAATCAAGGATAACACGACAAAACAATTCTATAGCCAAGTACCCTCTGTGATACTCTTTTTAGCATTCTACCTTTGTGGTATTAGCTTATTCCCTGAATTCAAGGATTGTTATACCTGAATTGCATATGATGTTTAATATATATCTTAAGATATACATAAATTTAATATTGTTTGTTGTTTGCTGTTGAGTCAGTTCTGACTCATAGTGTCCCTGTATAGGGTTTCCTAAGAGTAGCTGGTAAACTTGAACCACTGACCTTGCAGTTCAAACTGACCTTGAAGTCGAGAGCTTAATCCTACAGTGCCGTACCAGGACTCCAAATTTAATATTGTTGTTAGTGTCATCGAATCAGTTCTGACTCATAGCAACCCTGTATAAGGTTTCCAAGGAGCGGCTTATAAGCTTGAACCACCAACCTTGCAGTTTAAACCAATCCTGAAGTCCAGCACATTAACCTATAGTGCCACACCAGGAATCCAAATGTAATATTTGGGGGGAGGGGAGGAACAGGACTTGGGACTTGCTTTAATTATTTTAAGAAAGCCAGCATTTTTTATTCCAGAATCCCTATAACCCTAACATCCTTCAATTAACTGTTGTTGATGTAAACTAGCTAATAAAATGAGAAATGGAATTCTCCATTAATTCTTGTTTACATTTATTCCCAAGGTTTGCAAGAAACAGCATAAAGATGGAACACACTTGAATCCTTCCTGGGTCAACTAGGACACTCAATGGAATATATTCAAGAACCTTAACCATGATAGGACACCTGTGTATTTGTTTATCTGTTTGCTTTTAATCCAACATGGCTTTGCTCCAGCCTTTGGAACAGTAAATAGTAAGCTCCCCATGCCAGTGGACAGTTTACATGTCTGTTTGAGTTCTCATTCCAGAGAGCACATAAATACAGCTCAGCTCACAGTCATTCACTCAGTTCTCTGTATCTGTGACTTCCAAACTTTTGTCCCGGAACCCAGAGAGAGCAATAAAGTTTATAACAAATCCAGTTCTCTATGATGTATATATGTGTGTATGTCCCTGTATGCATGTATACGTGTAATTGTTTATGTGTGTTTGTACATACATGTATGTGCATAGACATACAGATACAGCAGGTGTCACAAAACATTTACCATATTAGTTACAACCTGTGGTTTAGAAAATGCTGCTGTATTCCATCCCCTTACCAATGCCCATCACCAGTAAATGATGGCATAACTGAAGTAGCAATCTGATTGAATAAATCACCACTTTGCTAGTCTCTTTGGGTTTTGTTTTTGCATATGTCTGACCCCACTGGAATGAGCCATGGTGGCGCCTTAGTTAAGTACTCAACCTCTCACAGAAAAGTTGGTGGTTTGACTTTACTCAGAGACTCCACAGGAGAAAGACATAGCAATCTGCTTCTGGAAAGTGATAAAGCCTAGAAAACCCAAGAAGTTCTAGGGGTCACCATGTTGGAAATAGACTCACAGCATCCAAACCAGAAACATTACCACTGGGCCATTATGTTGCTTATGTTGAGATTTGTGCTTTAGTCAGTCCAGACGTCTAAAATCACAGATATAAACAAATATTTCAATAATATATAGCACAGGGAACCTTTTATTTCTTTTCGGTTTTTTTGTTTTGTTTGAAATTCACATACAGAAGGTCTGCATTTTGTGGATTTTTTTTTTTTTTTAGATATCTTTCAATGCTGGAATTTTAATCAAGCTTGAATTGCTGTAATCTTATGAGATTAAAACAGTAGGAGTCTGTTTTCGGAGAAAAGTATAACAGTAAAAATTTTGCAAACGCATTCCAAGAATTTCTGAAATGCTCTCTTTTCCTTCTCTTCCCCCACAAAGAGGATTGAGTCTCTAAGTATCATCATACAGCACCTACATGATTCAGTATATGAGAATAGGGCAGGGAAAGTCTCGTGATTTTGCTAAAGAACACTACAGGAATCATAATGGAAGCATTCAAATCATTTTGGAGAAGAAATGTGTGTCTTCTTGCTTAGTATTATCAGTGAGAAAAATCAGTCAGGAATTTGAAGTGAAGAATCCAGTACTGCTTCTCTTATGAGCAGTTTCTAATTGCAGTTGTTACGTGCCATCGAGTTGGCACTGACTCATAGCAACCTTATGCACAGCAGAACAAAACACTGCCCGATCCTGGGCCAACCTCACTACTGTTGCCACACATGAATCCATCGATGCTGCCACTTGGCCAGTCCATCTCGTTGGGGGTCTTCCTATTTTTCTCGTACCCTCCACCTTACCAAACATGATATCCTTCTCCAGCAACTAGTCCCTCCTGACAATATGTCTGAAGTATGAGAGACGATGTTTGACCATCCTGGCCTCCAAGGAGCGCTCTGGCTGCACTTCTTCCAACACACATGTTGGTTCTTTTGGCAGCCCATGGCACTTTTCAATATTCTCCAACACCATAACTCAAAAGCATCTTACTCACTTTCCAGCTTTTGTATGTATATGAGGTTACTGAAAATACCATGGCTTGGGTCAGGCGCACCTTAGTCTCCAAGCTGACATCTTTGCTCTTCAACACTTTAAAAAGGTCTTGTGCAACAGATTTGCCTAATGTAATACGTCGTCTGATTTCTTGACTGCTGCTTCCATGAGTGTTGCTTTATCAAAGAAATTCCTGGTGACCGCATCCAGGTATAATGGCATGTACTCTTTACATATTGACAAGGAGCAAGTCAGCTGAAAATCCTCATTTCTGTTGCATATGTAACCCGAGTCTCTTTAGGATAAATTTGCTGAACAAAGACTATTGTGCTTAGTAATACAAGGGGACACGGACCCAATAAACTAGAAAAGAACGTTTCTAAGAACCCTATAGTGTTTCTGAGGAGTGGCTGGTGACCATGAACCAGGGAAATGCTAATTACAATCACAACGTGATAATCCCAACTGTCAGCAGATGGCTATAATTAAAAAGACAGACAACAAAAAATGTTGGCATGGATGTAAAAAGTTCTGGTGGTACAGTGGTTGTGTGCTCTGCTGCTATCTAAAAGGTAGCAGTTCAAACCCACCAGATGGTCCATGGAGAAACGTGGCAGCCTGCTTCTATAGAGAATTACAGCTTGGGAAACCCTAGGAGGCAGTTCTGCTCTGTGTTATAGGGTCGCTATGAGTTAAAATCAGCTCAAAGGTATTGGATTTTGTGTTTGGCATGGATATAGAGAAACTGGACCTTTCATACACTGCTGGCTGGCTTGTAAAATTGTGCAACCAGCTTAGAGAACAGTTTCGTAGTTTCTTTAAAAATTAGACATAAAATAGGGAGTGTGACCCAGCAATTCCACACCTAAGTATCTACCCAAGGAAAATGAAAACGTGTCCACACAAAGACCACACATGAATATTCTGAGCAGCATTATTCAGAATAGTGAAAAGATGGAAACAATTCAAATACCCATCAACTGAGAAAAGGATAAAATATGGCATATCTATGCATATAGTATTAAACTATTAAATTAAAAAGGAAATATTGATAACGATATGACATGAGCCCTACAGCATGTATAAACTTTAATGTTAGGCTGGGTGAAAAAAGGCAGACACAAAAGGCCACATGTGGTATGATTCTATTTATATGAACTGTCCTGAAAAGGTAAATCTATAGAAATAGATTCATGGTTTCCTATAGCTGGGGAGTCAGGGGAAGTAACTAAATGAATAAAAGAGGTGTTATTGGAGTGACTGGGAATGTTCTAAAGATGAATTAAGCTGATGGCGAACAACGGAAAATTTACTAAAAATCATTCAATTCTATACCTTGTTGTTTGTTGCTGGTGCCATCAAGTCAGCACCGACTCATAGCAACCCTATACACAGCAGAACAAAACACTGCCCAATCCTGGCCAACCTCACTATTGTTGCCACACTTGAGTCCATCGATGCTGCCACCTGGCCAGTCCATCTTGTTGAGGGTCTTCCTCTTCTTCTCTGACCCTCCACCCTACAAAACATGATATCCTTCTCCAGTGACTGGTCCCTCCTGACAATATGTCTGAAGTATGAGAGATGAAGTTTGGCCATCCTGGCCTCCAAGGGCACTCTGGCTGCACTTCTTCCAACACACATCTGTTGGTTCTTTTGGCAGCCCACGGCACTTTCAATATTCTACTCCAACACCTTAACTGAAATGCATCAATTCTCCTACGGTCTTCCTTATTCACTGTGCAGCTTTCACATGCATATGAGGTTATTGGAAACACCATGGCTTGGGTCAGGCGCACCATAGTCCTCAGGCACCTTTGCTCTTCAACACTTTAAAAAGGGCTTATTCAGCAGATTTGCCTAATGCAATACACGTAGTTTCATTTCTTGACTGTTAATTCTGTAAGTGTTGATAGTTGATCCAAGAAGAATGAAGTCCTTAACAACTTCGATCTTTACTCCGTTGATAAGAATGTTGTTTATTGGTCCAGTGGTGAGGATCTTTGTTTTCTTTACACTGAGATGTAATCCATACCGGAGACTGTGCTCTTTGATCTTCATCAGCAAATGTTTTTAAGTCCTCTTCACTTTGAGCAAACAAGGTTGTATCATCTGCATATTGCAGGTTGTTAATGAGTCTTCCTCCAATGAAATTTATGGCATATAAATTATACCTCAATAAATTTGTTTAAAATAAATCTATATATGAAGTGCATTCTTCAGTCCCCAATGCATCAGCTATTATACCAAAGGATACGATTCAAACCCAATAGTTTACCTCTTAAGGACATGCCTGGTAGAACCCAGAATCATATAGGCTGTTAGAACAGTGACAGCTGGTGCAGCATTCATATTCCAGGGTGGAAACTGAAACTAGAGCTGGTAACCTGCCCAATCTTATATAGCCAGTTAGTTGTGGGAGAGGGACTGGGTCACAATCCCTGTACCACACAAGCATGCACATATATAATTTTAGGGAAAAGAATGGTAGGAAAATACCTTGCCAGAATACATCATCACTTCCTCTCTCCCTTGAAGGGAGCAAATTGAGGCAGGAAAGGAAGGGCTGTGTCAGTGAAAAATGAGCCTTTCTGTCTGGGCTATTGGAGTCTAGGCAAGGAAGCAAGCCAACACATGTAGACATCCCTGGGGCAAGGAGCAGTGATGAGCTAATGTGAGCTCCATGCCATTCTGTGGATGTGCTTAGGCTTTTAGCTCTTCTTTTAGTAACTCCATCAAGGATAAGTTCCAGGGGGAAAAAGGCAAAGAAATGGAAAGGGTAAAATAAGCATTACTTAATGCTTGTGTGCACACAAAGAAATGGAAGAAAACTGCAGTAGCAGCTTTTGGGTCCTAATCAGGGTATTAGGATCTGCAGAAAAGAACACACAAAGTAGAATTTCTTATCAAAGAAAGCATATTTGATGCATCCATGCCCACAAGTCCAGAAACATACTATCAGAACAAAAGTGGAAATATAGTCATTTGTTCCCTGCTAACTTCCAGATCCTAAAGAAGCTGTCAGGTGATCCCAGGCATGTGGTACTAAATATTGTCCAGTTCTACACCATCCTCATCCTTAAAAGGGGATTAAAAAAATAACTAAATAGACTAAAATTCTTTCAACGAAATTCTGTTGAATTTCAAGGCGGCACAAATAAGTTACTGGAACTTCCTGCAATGATTCTCAATCATTAGCACATATCAGAATCACTTGGAGGGTT